TTGAGTGTTTAAAAAAAAAAATGTAGCCAATGGTTACTAGGCAAGGCAATGCGTGATAAATGTGTGTTACATTTGTTTTTCATGTGCTTCCCTTGAAGTTTATTGGGGTCAAAACGCTGTTGTCTGCCCCAACAGAAGCTCATGTACTTTTTTGAGATATAAGTGTTTCACTACAGGCAACAGAATGATGGGATTTCGCCTGTTGAGCATTGTAGCATTTAGACATTCAAGCTACAAAATGATTCTAGTGTGAATGGGGCCTATATACTATGACAAGTAGGTTTAAAGGAGAACTATGGGGTCAGTGTTTTTCCCCGTAGTTCTCCTTAGGGTAACGGGAGAACACAAACTAGCGTCCTCCCGTCACCCTAAGCTCAGTATACCGCGAGCTACAGCCGCAGCGGATCCCGACATCGAGATCCGCCCAGCTGCGTGAGTGACAGCTGGCTCTGCCTATCTAGAGGCAGAGCCAGCTGTACATGCCCCCTCCCCCGTCCGTTCCGCCTGTCAGCGCTGGCAGATCGGAGCGGGGAGAGGGGAATCCAGCCCCTCCCCTGTCACGGCAGAGAGCCATGACAGGATCGAGAGGTGAGCAAACCCGGTATGTGTTCGCTCTCCTCCCGATCTACTGAGCCGACCTGTGACAGTCTCATTGTCACAGGTCGGCTAGAACTATGAGGTGAGTGGAAATCACTCATCTCATAGTTCTCCTTTAATTATTTTATGACATAAAGCAATACATTACACTAGCTTACTGTCAGAAACTCTCAATCCTAATCAGGGGTAGCAGACCTCTTTTAGGGCAGGAGCTGCCTGTCTTACAGCGCTGCTGATTGTTAGCCTGCATCCTACTCCCTGCACAAACCAGCGATTAGTGCCAGGAAGCCTTCCATTACTAGCTTCCTTTGTGGCTATAGAGGACTTCCAGAGCCAGTATTTTTATATATTTATATTTTTTATTTTTATATAATAATAATATAATAATAGTATAATAATACATTGCATTCCCCAGCCTGCTTCTGGTACATTCCGCCATCAGATCACATGTTATGGCCAGCCCCCAGCCACCCGCTGTACAAAGCCAGCCAGACCGCCTAGTTTGCCTCATTTGGCAGCCGCCACTGCCTGATTCTGTGCTGCCCCCAGCCTTGGCCCACTGGGTAAGTGCCCAGTTTGCCCAAAGGCAAGTCTGGCCCTGTCCGCCTCGTTGGTTTGGGGGCGTTTTCTGCTGCCCCCCTGGAAAGTGCTGCCCTAGGCATATGCCTAGTTTGCCTTGCGGTAGATACACCCCTGACACCAGCCCAGTCTGTCAGTGTTGTGTGGTCTGGTTCAGGGGGCAGGAACGGGAGGCAGAGGGTGCATCTGCATATCTCCCAACTCTCCCTCATTTGAAGGGATTGTCCCTCTTTTGGAACCAAAACCCTCTGAGGAATATCAGCTGTCCTTTTTTTAGACTTTTTTTTTATAGGCTGTTATAAAAAAATGCACTTCTTAACTATCAAAAGTGTTACACAGAACTACACTAAACCTTTTATCCAACCTCTATATTGTTACATTGGGTGGTCTGATATACCAGTATAAAGTAGAAGTGGTGAAAAAAAACACTTGTGGGTTTAACCAATCTCTTTTTGCGCTTTAATTTGTTCTGGGGGCATGACAGGGGCATGTCCACTGTCTACATAATTTGTGCTAAAGGGTGTCCATTCTTCCTATCTCAGAGAGGTGCATCTGACAGGCAGCACCGAGCAGTGGTCAACGGAAAAGGCAAAAGCTGCTCAGCAGATTGTTATGCAAATAAGTGGCAATTTTAGGCTCTCTCACTGATAGCGGCCCCTATAGGCATCTGCCTAATGTTGAATTTGGCTCCGATTACAGATATGTAAAGTCCTATGCAACCTTTCTCCTGGTGACTGTATTAAAATAGACATTTTTCAGATTTGCTGCACCATCATGTCAATCAATAGGTTATTTTAATTGTACCTTTTTATGTGTAGCAGAAATGCTATATACTAGTTTATTTTTACTGAAGAACTTTGGAAATGTTCAGTATGGACTTGCCAAGAGCTTAGAGATAACATATAATATATTTCATGCAAAACTAGGAAAAAAAAGATGGCAAGGAGCTTGTCAGATTATAACCAGCAGGAGATGTAGAAACAGATCTGTGTGTATTTCTTTATACGTGTGCAGATAAATTACCCCCTTTCATGTGGTCCTTCAAGGAAAGTTTACTCTCAGTTCACAATCCTCTGTGTAGGACCCAGAGTTATCTTAGGTGATGTGTGACTTCCACATGTTTGCTAAAGTAGTCAACTGACACTGCTTTTTTCAGTGTTAGAAGCAGGTTTTATTTAGGTCCTATAACTGGAGGGATGGATGCAGGTTTTAATATCTTACTAGCAAAGATAAAAATAGCAATGTTTGTGCTCAGGGCATGGAGTTTTTAATAGCATCTCAGGATATTACAAGCCACAGTTCATTTCAGTGAACTTTAGAGTCACCATACCAGGTCCCTTCAGAATGGTTTATTACCCGAGACACTGGAACTCCCATTAAAAATATATTATTTTGATCACTTGAATTGACAGTGATCACTTCTACTACTATCTACTAGCCTTACACATCCAACTAGTGTGGGCTATGACACTCACATACTGTATTAGATATAAATAATGGAATAAGATTTAGCCTGGCTATAGTGTCTGTTATCACTAGGGATGCATCGATACAGATTTTTCAGTATCGAGTACAAGTACCGATATTTATCTTTTATTATTCGCCGATACCAGGTAACGATGCCGGTACTTCAGCTAGCATGGAGCCAGCTTCTCGGCCAATCAGGAAGCTAGGCGGCATGTCATTACCCGCCACCCGGCTCCTTGATTGCTCAGTAAGCTGGCTCCATGCTGTTTGGCCGGCTTGATGTTGATTGGCCAGGAAGTTGACTTCCCAGCCAATCAGCATCGAGCCGGCCAAACAGCATGGAGTTGGCTTCACGGCCAATCAGTCATTACCTCCCACCCGGCATCCTGATTGGCAGGGAAGCCAGCTCCATGTTCCATCACGGCACTGCCAGTCAGAGGGGGTAAGTATCGGAGCATTTGGGCGAGTACGAGTACTCGCCAAAATACTTGGTATCACTTGATACACTAGTATCGGTATTGGTGTATCCCTAGTTATCAAGTGTCCAAAAATTGTACCATTTTATCATCCACTTATTTTGGTGTCAATTGATCCATGTTATTATTTTGATGAATTTTACCACTATATCTTTCTTTTTTTTTATTTTATTTCACTATTGAATTTATGAAATTTGTCTTTTTGAAACAGTCTACTTATTTTATTTCACTGATATATTGATTTATAAAATTTTATGTCATTTTAGTTGTCACTTTCCTCTGCTGATTAGTCGGTAGTAGGAGTAGATATACACATAGGGGGCAGATAGCGCAGGTTTTTTTTTGGGACACTTAATTGATTGATGAGAGGAAGTATTCACACATCCTCTGATTTACTCACTGCAGCTGTCACTACACACATGGGGGGAGATATCCATAAGCGCGAATAAATAAAAGATTATACATCCCTAGTTATCACAGACAGAGGCCTTCCAGTTGTTTTATGCCAACCCAGTTTTGCAGTTCCTCTCTCCATTCATAGTGAAATAAAGTTATGTCTACTGCTCTGCCCTGCACATTGTCTCTTTCATATTTCCATTTTGAGAAGACAGAAAACAGCCATATGATTTAGCACTTATCAAGTGGCCAAACACAGTTTGACTTTTAATTAAAGAACAACTGACCTCTGGTTTAAAAATCAATAATTCAACAATAGCATGCCTATTAAATCAGCATTATAAACACGATACCTTCTTTCCACATAAACTAAGATTTTGCCATTGTCTGTCTGACTTAATTCTGTAGCTAAAATAAAACAAAATGGTGGCTGCTTATATCATCACTAAGTGACCATTCAGACTCCTGTGGCCGAACAAGTACACAGGAAGTACTCGAGGAACCTCAAGGCAACTAATTGGCTAACAGGTAGGCGGGATGAGGAGGAATGGGCAAAAAAGAGTTTTGTCTGGCACACTGAATACTGGGACTTAGTCAAACAGGTCAATGAATGCTAGACATTTATTTCTCTCAAATGCACAGTGGACAGCAAGGAAAGTGCAGACTGTATTCCATGCATCCTGTACACTTTACTTAAAATACTATGTCTTTGTTTAACCGTTATTTGCATCTTCCTCATTCATTGCACGTACACATAGTATATAGCGTTTTTAAAGGACAAAATGGGCTTTAATTTGATGTGACAAATGCATATATACATTATTTTTAATTTGAGAAAATTAAAAAAAATGGAATGGCAATAAAAATGTGTACATAATTAGTGTAGCTAACAGAAAGTAATTCATAATAAATTATTTTATTTGTCCTGATTTACAGGGTATACTGTATCATATGTCTGGGATTTCAGTTTATTTTGGAAGTTATAGGTCACAAAATACAAGGAGTGAAATATAATTTTAGTGTGGAACAATTTTAGAAAGTGGTATGTTCTTATAATTATTTATTAAACTTATTTTTTATTTTTTTTAAACTTTTGATACTCAGCATTCTGAGGAGATACTGTATTCTCCTCAGAAATACTTTGTATTACTTTGTAACACAGTGAGCTGCAAGCCGGCTCAGTGGATGTAACAGCACTGTCATCACTGCGATTAGCTATCGCAGTGATGACAGTGCTGGGACCCCCTAATTTGCTGCTTAGGCTCTGCCTCGGACACCGAGGGACCCAGCAATAGCATTAACTCAATCATTTTACCGCATGACGGGCTTATTCTGTCACCGGTCTTTAACGAACTGAAAGATTGTGATGGAATGTTCCCATCATCGGTCGGGAAGGGGTTAAGCCTTATGTTTTTAATGAACATCTCCCTTTGTTCTGGTAACCACTGCATTTTTAGAAGATACTTTTAAAAAAGTGATACTTACTGAGCTTTGCACAACTTCTCCCAGGCCTTATGGAATTTCACAGGGTCTTCAGCTTTAGTAGAGGGTTCTAACTCAGCAGAGTCTATATACTACAAGAAGATAAGAGATATGTTCACAGAAAGCAGGCACTGCATGAACTAACTTCCAATGGAAATACAACAGATACCGCTAGCTAGAGTAAAACTAGACGTCATATAACCCTTGTGAAAATTCTTAACAAGTAAATATGTGACGGTAGAGGAGAACTGTATTAGGGTTTGTGCCGTTAGGCTGTGAACTTGATGGGCAAATTTGGCATGATTTCTAGGTGCCTTCTACTTGCATTTAACATCAGAATGGGATGCTTGTCAGACCATTCAGAGTTCAATGACAGGCACATTTGATCTGCAGTTGATCACCTTGTAATCTGAGGTTGACATTCTTTTTTACGAGCATCATCTTGGCTTTCCCATTGTTTTGAATGGGGAGAGAAGCAGTTCTGATGCTAACAAAAACCCATCAACCTAGCCCTTATTCTACACACACTGTAAAGTAAGCAGACAGCTGGAAAGAAAAAGGGAGTCAAGGCTGGACCCTTAATCTCTTTTTTCATTACCACATGATATTATTATAAATTAGGGCTGTTCAAATTAACGATTCATTTCTCGATTAATCGTTAATCTTTTTGATCGATTAAAATTTTTTTGATCGCTAATGAAAATACTCACCTCTCTGCCGGCTTCCGGGAGTCCCGTCGGAGATCCGGTGATGGTCACGGACATCGACGTCACCGGATTCCATATGTCGGCTAACGAAGGGAAGGAGTCCGGTGACGTCAATGTGATCCTAGTTCATGTTATTACTTCATTGCTGTGCTGTATGTGTATAGGCCAATGTAGTTGGATCTGTATGTGTGTTATAATTAATCGAAAATTAATCGATTAAAAAAAAATTTCAAATAATCGAACACGAAAATTTAAATCAGTAACAGCCCTATTATAAATATATCACTGTAGCCCCTCAAACAATTTAGAAAACTTATTTTTATAATAAGTTCAAAAGCAAAAGGCACATCGTAGGCTGGCCAGAAAGGGAAACAGTAAAGCCAAATCTAGTTCTTTCAATTTTGGATAGAGTTAAGGAAGGCTTGGAACATCTGCCAGTTTTTTGTTTCATTTATGCCCACTGAGAAGATTTTCTCTTAGTTACGTTATACCAGAACAGGAAGTGATGGGAAATCTCCCCAATGAGGACACAAGCAGCAATACATACATGAGGGTTTTTAGAGATTCTAACCCATGTTTAGACCAAACCTTTTTTTAGTTTTGGATAGAGAAGGTAGGATTAAACCCCGTTGGGTTTCCTCTGCAACCTAGGGCTCCAATAGAGAGTTAGTGCCTACACTAACTTCCCCCATGGCAATGATTTTGCTGGACATGAAAATTCTACAATAGCAACATAGGCATAAGTAAAATGTATTTTTTAGTATAGTAGGGGAAGGCTTGAACCCCTGTCGACTTTTGCACATTTTACCTCACTGGAACAAATGTCCTGTTTCCTTAGTTCTCAGTGGGAAGAATGCCCCTTATATTGGTGGTCAGTGTTCTGCACTCTTACAGAGATGCAATGCGAAGAATACACCATTACATTTCAACAAATAGAAACATAAAAGAGTGACAGCAGAAGAAGACCAAGTGGTTCATCGAATCAGCCCCCTTTTTTGGGGGGTCTTTTTTTAAAAACTTTTTATTTTTGTAGAGTACCTGTATATCCCAAGCATGTTTAATGTCACTTACTGTTGAATGACTTACTGCCTCTGCTGGAAGTCTGTTCCAAGTGCTCTTTCAGTAAAATAATACTCTATAAGGTTAGTTTTGAACTTTCATTCTGATATCATGTTCCCATGTTCTTGATCTAAGATTCATATTGAAAACACTGCCCTCCATTTCACACCACTAATGTATTAAAAGGTTTCAATTATATCTCCCATTTCCCTTTTTTTATATATAATATATATTTCATATTTCAAAATGTATATATATATATACAC